AAGCTTATTCAAATTGTCCGTCAAACTAGAGATTTCTTTCTGTAATCTTTTTAATTCTTCAGCAGCTTTCTCCTCCTTTTCCTTCAGTTGCAACTTTTCTTTCTCAAGCCTCTCAACTTCTTGTTTCGAGTCTCCAGAACTACTCCTAAGTTTGATCAATTTCTGCATGTAATGATGCATTCTGTCAATTAAGAACGCAAGGAAGAGAGAGAACCCTACAAGATCAAGTTCAGACGTTAAAGACAAGACAGCAGAAGCAGAACTATATATATAACATTTTGAAGAATATGAAATAAATGTATTAATTCTCAATTAATTAACATTCACGTTCATTTAATTAATATTCATCTTCATTTATGCGTTAATTAATTCTAATTATAAGTTAATTAGAATTTCACATTCAAGAATAAATTTCATTATTCACATCCATGTATGCTAATTAACATTTAATTTTACTTAATTGGAAATTAAATAAATGATTTAATATTCATTATCACATATATATTCCTTGGTATTAATAATAAATTAATTGACATTCATGCATATTCAAATATTACTTTTATAGCACTTATAAAGCATTTTATAATAACGTGCAATGCGCGTTCAATGTTGACTAGTAGATCTAAAAATTAAGCTAAAGGAGTGGCGAAAATGGATTCAATGGGGCTGACCTCAATTTTATTGAGAACGAGACTGGGTATATAAAAAAAAGTACAGAGAAACCCGGTATACTACCATTGCAATAACAAATTTCGGGCCTCAGGCAAGTCAAGAAACAAAGAGAAAGGCCAATGTTCAACTAGATTAAACATGCACAACAAATTAGCAACAGCAGCAGCTAGTTTTTATTTAATTTGAAGTTCGACAGGTACTAAACTAAAGCATGGGGAACATCGGAATAAGATAAACCCATACAGTGGTTGATATCAATATCTTAGAATAGCATGAGATTAAACATTACATTTCCCAAACACCAGCAAAACAAGACCTTTAGGAAGTATGCAGAGCAGAAAATGTTGTGCACTACACTCAAGGCAAGTGAGTTTGGAGAACACGGCTCTCAGGGGGTAGATAACACGTTATAATTGAAATTGTCAAAGTACTGCAATCTAGGAGATTGCAGGTACTTCAATTAGTATACATCTTCATCTATCAGCACTCAGAAGCACTTAAGACAGTATATAAGAAATTAACTCATAATTGGTCAATTTTGTGTCCTCATTCTCCCTTTCTGACTGGACTCTAGACTTCATCTTCAGTGGTGGATCTATGACTACGATCCTGTCGGGGCATAACTTAAATAAAATTAAATTTTTAAAAACAAAGTTTTAACACAAGAATTGTGAATATCTTACAATTTCTTTTTTATATAAATCGTTCTTTTTATACTTTGCATATTTGATACATTATACAACACGAGATTAAGAATAGAGACGTGAGATAAAAGATCGTTAGTTTTTGTGCCTAATCCTATGCAATATATGGTGGTGGGTGAATATTTTACAAAGGATTTGGCCGACCGCAAATTATGTGGGGATGAAGATTTCTTTCAACGACCTGAATATCTATCTTCTCTCTTGGCATCGCTCATCAAAGCAATAAACATGGCTGAATCAAAAAATTCAAAATTAGAGCAAAGCCCTATTTCGTCAGCCAAACCCACCTCAATTTGTCTTCAATCAACCACAGAATTAGAACCCAACTGTAATCTTCTAATTAAAAGGGTTTTATGCCTCTTGCACCTTCTTCCTCATTTCTTTTTCATGCTTCCTTTTTCTGCTGGTGTATTGCACAAACCAACAAATTTCTATATCAATTATTTCTTTTCCAAAACCCAGTGAGGGCAGCCTCAGGTTGTTATGCCCCTGCTCATCTTGTTCGTTTCTTATTAGAAACGTTCAGTTAAAGGATGACTCATAACTATTTGTTAACGCTATTTTCATTTTGAGACCTTAAACCCCCACCAAACCTTCATCTCACTCTCTCTATAATTATACTACACCTCCTTTCTCATGATCGCTTCAATTCAAACACAAATTTAACATTGTTGTCTCAGACGCTCATCCACATAACATAGACAAACGGATGTTAATGAGTAACCAAAGCTAAATGACCGTGAATAAATTATTTCCATCACAGTCAACCTGATACCTGGAGGATAGCAATTCCACAGATGATATGAAGTTGATACAATATAGGCAATAAACAAATTAAGTATTCTCCCCACCCACCTTGATATGGTATGGACTAAGGACTTTCTCTTTTCCGTCCAGAGTAAGGGAGCCGGGAGGTATATGAAGAACAAATCAGTGGATTGAGGAATAAATGCTCGAAGACATAGAGAACCAGGCATCTCCAAAGCATTGGTGCAGGTTTCTCACTCCCTCTGATTATTAACTGAAGGTAAAGTCACTGAGTTTGTAAAAGTAATTCTTCCTCTAAAACGAAAATTGTAGACGTAGATAACTCTAGACAATCTTTTCAGTGTAATTAGATAATGTATCAAGCAAGTAATACATATCAAATCCTTCACATGTAAGCCACCAACTCAGTAGCATATTTTACATTCACAAATCAAAAATCTTCAAATCAAACACATGGAATCGAAACACAATTTTTTCACAGTTCAAATCATAATGTACCAAGAAACAACTATAGAAGCAACAATTTGAGTAGCACATTTCATATTCCAAAATCAACAATAAAAATTAAGAAACATATATATAAAATTGAACCAAAACTGATAAGGATCATATTCATACCCATGAGAGTAGCCTCTAGCAAATTGGTCCTCCATAGTACTTGATCCATTGGTGTCATTGTACCAAGCTTAGAACCTTTATTCTGAATCTTGAGTATGCTAACAAGGTTTGAAAAGAGGATGACAAAAATAGTACCAGCAATTGTTAAAACTGTACCCCTTCTCATTTTCACTTGATCTAAACCCTTCATTACCAGTTCTCTCAGGGGTCCAATCTTCACCACTAAAAGGAATGCCACTAAACACTCAGCACAGACAACCAAAAAGAACAGGGGAATCATATTTGCCACAACAAAACCCACCTCCGTTCTACAATGAACTATTCTCTTAGTTTTTCTTGAATGGGAATTTATTTTCTTGGAGAAAATCTAGAGCCCACTTCATAAATCCAAATTATTCTTCAATAAATAAACATAAAAGCAAAAGTACCCAAGATTTATCCATTTCCAAAAGAAACCCGTTTCTTGACGTTATTATCCAAGAATCAAATATACTACAATCTCGGGGTAAAAATTAAATCTTGAAAAACCCAATTGCAGAAACTGAAAAAAAAAAAAAGAATCCTTTAACACTTTCTACTTATAATATTGATTTTGGCAAAAAAGTAAAACCTTACTTCGTAAGGCATAGCCTTGTAGCAGAATATGCGAGGTTAAGGCCGCAGATCTGTTAAGGTAACTTTTGAGTTATTTTTTCTTGGCGTTTAAGGTTTATCTCTAAATATGTAAATTAGTGGTGCTGTTCTTTGGGGGATTAGTGGGCTGGTTATGCTTTACAGAACAATAAAGGACGCATGAAAAAAGCAAATTGGGAGTTTTTCATGGTCAAAAGGTAAGAAAATAGTATTTTTTTTAAAGTGCTAGGTACTAACTGAATGGCGTGAATGTAGAAGGGATGAAAAAGCAGATCAAATGTAGGAAGCGTGAAGTGTGAACTCACTCCAAGCCTGATACGACTTGGAGTACATCATCATGTATTACACTATCAAAATCGGACTGAAATTGTTTGGAAGTGGGGAGGATGATTGGGGCTTGGATATTTTACAATTTGATTACAAATTTACTGGTGTACTAAAATTTTGAGTGAATATGTTAACAAGGACCAACCTACGAGAGAGCCATTTTTATTAAAAAAATAACATCGCACCTCTATTGCATTACAAATCATTTGTTTTGATTTTAATACCAACAGTTAAGAATTGTTTCCCCCCTACTTGGACATGAACTTGAGATATTTTAAGATTCATTAATTCTGTCTCCCTGCTAACAAAGTCATTTCAAAAAAATTGAAAAGATAAAAAGAAAGAATTGGGTCCCCAGCAGTATTTTCCAAAATAGGGCTCCAAGTTGGTACTGAATTCTGAAAAGTGAATTATCTTGAGCGACTTGTGAGAATTTCTCGAGAGTCTAAACCCCACAGCAAACTAGAAAAATTCTACACGTACCATGTGGCCATGTACGTGTAGCACCATAACCCATATCCTTTGTAAAGGAAAAATTAGACAATAACCTAAAAGCTTTTAACTTCATTCTAGAATTAAGGGTGTGTTCTCTTTACCATTTTCAAGTCGCTTTCTGTTTTCAATTTTTCAAAACAGTGAAAACGAATTTTTGAAAACAAGTTCAAAATTTACCAAATTTTCAAAACGCGTTTTGAGTGTTTTCAAAATAATTTTTCAAAAGAGTGAAGAACACATTTTCAATAATCTCAAAATGAACACTCAAAACACAAAATTCAAAATAAATTCAAAACACAAAACTGAAATATAAAGATAACAGCCCCTAATTTTTTTAAGTTCATTTTTGACTATATATTCTTTCAATTATATAATTATGCACATAAATTCAACTTTTTTATACTTATTAATCACACACTTTTTTAAAAAACTAGTTGATGCACGTGCAATGCACGTGTTTGAATATAGTTGGCTATTTAATAGTGTGGAGTGATTGTTAGATATCCAAATTGCATTAGATTTATAGTTATATAGTATATAGTATTCGAATAGAATAAGACAAAATGAAGACAAATTTAATGCTCAATGGTAACTAAAGATGAAATTTAAAGACGGAAAATATGCAATTTGTGTAAGTGCGCAATTTTCATACGTGGGATAGATTTGTAAAAAACTAATGAATAAATAAAAGAGCAATCCAAAAAGGTATCACAGATGATGATGTTAGCCACAAATAATACACAACTTTTCCACTTATTCGCTAGAATAAATATATGTAAATTTT